TGCGCCGCCATGTCTCTCGACGAGTATTGGCGGGAACCCCCCTTCACTTCCTTCGCTTGAGCTGGATCCCATGTCGGTCGATGAGCTGTAGACATGGTGGCACAAAATGGTGCTTGGGGATGCCAGAATGTGTGACAAACAACTAAGTCACAGTTTGATCCGCATGAGGCTTACATACGCATTTCAGTCAGAAATATGAAGATTTAAGTGAAATTGTATTATAAAAAAAGCTCTTGCAATAGTACTATCCAATGAGCCTCGTATGGATTAAAAAAGACCGTTGAAAAGTTTGCCTGAATCCGAGATGCCGACTTAAAATGTAGGTGTGAAACTGTAACGACAAAGTGCGTGTCAGGTTGAGCGAGCCAGTTGAAAAGTTTATTGGTATAGACTTCAACTTAACCCACGATGCTTAGTATGAGTGATATGTTCTTTCAACAGATATGACAGCGCAGCCAGCTTTACGAACAACTCGCGGAAATCTCTTGGAGATTTAATCCAGTTAATAAAGTGGCGTGAAGTAATTGCATGAACCAGCTCTAATTCTTGCTGTGAACACTCCCTGGAAGATTCGAGTGTGGCGTCGACGGCGAAACGTGGCAAAGTTAGACGCTCCCTATCAGTGCTGTGGATTGTTGTTGTTTAGCATTGGCGTAGCTGAGGTAGGTATCTGAGGATTGCTGTCAACGCATGAAGCATTCTGCTATATTTATGACGCACTCCAAAAAAGGGATACCACGCCGACAACACCGAATCGCAGGTGAGGAGGCACCACCGCAAAGTTGATAATTTGAGTGGGTGTGAATACGCCCCTAGATGAAGTTTTGAATTTCTCATAAGAATCACGAAAAAATATGAATACCAATTGCGCAATAAAGTAGGGTAGTACGCCTGTGGGGCTCGTTAAAACCGAAGGTTCATGTTCTCAACATCATGTGGAAGCTCACTGCCTCAACTCTGTTCTTAGCCTCTGTTATGCTCTTACCTTCCAAAAAGGTCATGCTCGAGAAAAAGAATGCCACGGCAACTGCCAAGAAATTGTTGTGCATGTTTAACGTTATCGATTGTAAATATTAATCCTACCTGGGGCTAAAACAACTTGATCCAAGCCTACCTGATAAGACAAATATTACTCGAACAGTTTTGAACAAAAGAATTCACTAACCCGAGCAATCAATGATCTCATAGGAGTCTTAAATTTAATATCCCCTAAAAATTGGTACCATTTGGTCATTATAGGCCCAAAAAGAGCTCCTGCATAATTTATATCAGAATATCACTCTCGGACGGGATTATCAGATATATAATAATGTATAATACCTCCATAAAGGGTAATTCGTGCAGTTCGTTGGTACTATTTTCAGGAATGAAGCACAGATCGAAGAAATTCATAAAACCAAACGTACATCGTGTTGCTGTCCCTTCTTTTCTATGGCTTGTTGTGCAATGATGTCCCCGCTACCGAACAGCACAGCGGCAGTAATACACTGCGTCAACATGGGTCTACGAATGAGTGCTGCACTGCAAGCATTCGACTGAGAATAATAGGATTAAATTTGTGTAACAATCTTACTTGTAACTTCTCAAGAACGACGCCATGAGTTAAGAACGCCGTCTATGCAAACGTTGCATGCCCACTATCGTGAATTTAATAAAAGACCCGTCACAGTGTCACACCAGGCTCGAGGATCGATATCGGGTACTTGCCCAACTGCTTATTTTTACAGCATGTGGTAAGTCCAAGTACGAGAATCCCCCCCAATATGCCATTATTAATGCTATACATAGTAAACACATATTGAATGCGCAAGTTTCCATCCGTGCGCCTTGTTGTAAGCAATGGTTTGACTGCGCGGAGTGCCATGCCGAGAAAGAAGAACACGCATTGGCAAAGACAACGGAGATGGCGTTTATGTGCAAGAAATGCAAAAAAGCCTTTAGAAAGGACATGACCGCGTATGAGGAAAGTGACGAATACTGCCCTCATTGTGACAACCACTATGTAAGTGATCGTGAATGCCTTCATACTCGATTATTGATTTGACTGTCCAAAGGTTTTGGAAGCGAAAACACCGCAGGCTGTGCTTGGCGTGGAGGCAGGAGATACTCGTATAGATGCTCGGTATGCCGTATATCATTTAGCCATCTCTTGTTCGCTGATTGTCAATCTCAAGGATAATCAAAGACGAACGAGAAAAACAGGACCCGAAGCGGTCGATATTCGCGCAGGACTTTTCTGATCGCATTGGATGAATATAGCTTTGGCTGTTGTTGTGCTTTCGCATTTCTGTTTTGTTCTGCTATCATGGGAGCCACCTTGCCACACATTCGTTAGCTAGATGGATGGCTTTGCCAACAAAACCAGCTCTATGTTTTCCGATCGATCTAAGTCTAAGATCTACTGTGACTATCCAATGGCTTCTGCAGGAAATTCCTCTAAGAGGTACTTGTACTGAGCATGATTAGTGGTAACAGATACACTACGGAACCTTTCGTGACTACAAACTGCCATAATCAAGACTTTTTCTTGATGAAGAGTTCAGCGCTGAATTAAAACTTCCAAGTATTTTGAACCAAAAAGCAGACACTGGTTGTGACTGTATGATCCAAAGGATAGCATTATTATTTGTTGAATGGTCGGTGCACCTTTTCAAGGATGACTTCGTTCAGGATTTCGCCTACTTCATTTAAGGTTTGCTAAACGTCGGCAAGGAAGCAGCCGAGGAGGTCACATCATCGTCGCCGCATTCCCGTGTCTTCCACTGTCACAAGGTTAGAAGTTTAATAGTTTACTATTAAAATGACACCTCAAATATAGTCGCCACCACCATGTTCAGATCAGTCCCTTGTGACCATACGGCTTGTCGGCCGTTCCGTGACACGAAAGCGCGACAGAGCCCCGAGACACAATACCCTGTCGCGTTCTGGTTATATGGCAACACTTGCCTCGAACAATTCATGAACGATCACTCTACTCTCCGCATTGCAACCACACATGTACAAGTGATTGGGTTTTATATCTCTCAAACAAAGAATGACGAAAAGCCGCCCCCTCGAATTCCCAGCTTCCACCTTTCGAGCCTGACAGATAGTACTTAGAAACAATCGAGCTATTATAACCTCCATATTTTTTGCATTGGTCAAGATTCCAAGGTACATACAGGTCGAGATCGCCTTGTGTTTGTTGTGGCTCTGGCTGTCTGTGCATCCTGTCCATCTGCATATAACAGAAATTAGACCCTTGAAGTTACCCAGATGATTACTTCTTCTCGACCTCCGCGACATCGTATGCGCACCCGGATTCCGAGCGGTACCATACTTACGCCTTCTCACGCATCCTATCAGAACCCGCTCCCCGTAAATGTCGACACCAATACCGAAACCTCAAGATATGACAGGGGAGAATTAGGTCATAAATCAGTGATCATATTCTTGGTTTCTTGGTTCGTCAATATCCAGCATCATGTTCACAGGAGCGTTCCATCATTCTGTCCACAGTTGTCAGCACTTTTCGTTCGTTCTTTTTTTTTTAAGTCAGTCATCATCAGAATCTCTAATTGGCCTCTGGTGTGAGACAGATTTATGTGACCCATGGGCCATGATCAGCGTTGGGAGGGTGATGTAGTACCCATCACGACGTGGGACATTTTAGCATTTGTGCATCCATTTATTAGCATAGTTAATGATGATTTTGAAATGTATATTTCACTCTTTGGAATAAGGCTATGGAGTGCTGAAAACGATTGGAAGACCCGATGCCTCTGAAGCCAGCAATTTCGACACCTCCGCTGCAATGATTTTGTGTACAGGGTCTGTCGGGTGTAAGTGGTCCCTCCAAATGCCGCCCCCCCGCTCCTGAGGGTCAGACTCCGAGAATCCGTAGCTTTTAGGATTGTCGAGAATTTTGTTAAAGATATCCCAGGAAGAAAACAAGAAAACGGTGGCATCGTCGCGTGAAGTTGCAAATTCCTTAAGCCGTGGGCGAAGTAAAGTATTCCAATCCTCATATTGTTGTTTCAACGAAGATGCGGAGGACCCGACGGATGCTGGAAATTATAGCGCTGAGTAAGTATAGCAAACCACCTCACAAACACAAATCAAGACCAACCGAGAGCAGGTGTACGATGGATCGGAGGCATGTCAATGATCAGAAAGTTTCGTGCTCCCAGAGAGTAAAGTTCGTCCTGTAGTTTGAAAATCCTCTTCTGTGCGCCTTTGATATCATCACTTGGGTTGTAGAGATACCGGCACCTTAGCGTTGCAGAATATTTGACATGGGACGTCTTACCTCATGCCTAGATCATTGATACCCATCCACGTAACTGTTAGCGATTCGTCAGGAAGCATAATTTCAAGTGGTGACTTCGAATACAAAAACAAATCGTACCAAATAACGAACTCTCTGCCTTCCATAATGGCAGGGGCAAGATGTCTCCCTTAAAATTCTGTTGCTTGAACAAATTGAACTGATGCTTGAGAGCGTGCGTCGTTTGACCGCACTGCGCATAATCATATATAAGTAAAGGAGACTGGCTATATTCCCTAGCGACGTATCCAACCTATGTAACGAAAAGACGAACATATACGCGTTAATAAAGAGTAGATGGATTCGAAAGAAATCATTACCCAATTACAACCCCCGTCGTACGGGAACCCTGGAAATTTAATTCCTAGTGGTTCTTCTAGAGTCGGCCGTGGAGTATCCCTCCTCAATGTATACCCTACGTCGCTATAAGAGTCGCCACTGTAAAAAAACAATCAGCAAAACAAGGCCGGAATCATTTAAAATGACACGTCTTCCTTATACCAAGAAAGACTAACAAAATGACAATGCGACTGAGAGAAGAAAATTCTTGCCAACTTGGAGTCTTCTGTACTTCAGACATAGTATAGCTTCAAGGTGGCGTAATCAGGAGGCGATGCCCACTAAAATTAGCCTGGGGAAATTCATCGGAAATAATTGATTGCCGGCAATCAGGTGAAAAATATCTAAAAAACCAAGGTCCTACCCGGATTCGAACCGGGGTCACGAGAAGAAACTGCATTTCAAAATCTCGGGGGATAACCACTACCCCATAGAACCCCCGGCACCACCCCCATTTAATACTTTGATAACAGTATCTCAGGTAGCTCACTGGAAAAGGCCCGTCACGTGGCCTTTGCATAAATTCCCCAGGTAACTTCTAATGACCCCATCCTCGAATTGGTTGGCATTGAAAAAGGTAATAAGTCTTCATTAGTGTTAATACATTCCTAGCTCACAAACTTTTTTTATAGAGTTTAACCTCGGCCACTGATTCCAATGGAAGACCGAAAAAGAGGCGGAAGGTTGCAGATCCAGGATCGGTAACTTCAGAAGGATCGGTCGTTTTGTCTACTTCTGCTGAGTCTAGCAAAGTACCCGTATTGGAGAAGGGCGGTAACCCAGATTCAGTGATATCCCTACGGCGGATGATTTACGGAGAGAGCACGTATCCTGAAGCACATTTGCTGTGAGGCACTCAAATAAACACGCTTCTACCGTTATTGAGGGCAGCTTTACAGACCGGGAAAATATATCTCTATTGATTGCGAGATGGTTGGGATAGCAGGCGATTCGAAAAAGCGAAGTCTGGCGGCGAGAGACGGTGAAGATGAATCTTCTCTGGCGCGAGTCAGTGTGGTGAATTACTACGGAGCTGTTCTTCTCGACTTGTTCGTGCGACAACGAGAGCGTGTAACGGATTGGCGGACGGCCGTCAGTGGGGTTCGAGAAAGTGATATGGTGAATGGTATGTCTGCACGAAGGAATGTATCGTATATCATCTTTTCTTATTCGGAATGCAGCAACGTCATTTTCAGATGTACAGAAAGCAGTTTCGGATTTGTTGAAGGATAGAATACTTGTTGGACATGCAGTACACAATGACCTTCAGGTGAAGTATGATGTCACTGATCTAATACGAAGACTCATATAAAGACAGGCACTACTACTGTCTCATCCACACAATATGATACGGGATTCTCAAATTCTCGCAGGAAAACATGGCACAATATCAACGCAACTACCAGCAGACCCTGCCGGCACTCCATTAGCTCCTATAAAGAGAAATAAGCGAGCAGCATTAAGAAAGCTAGTAAGTCAGGAGCTAGGTGTGGATATACAATCGGGAGAGCACTCAAGTGTTGGTCACAACTTTACATATTTAATTTTCTTCTGCTGATTCCCGTTATCATATCTCACAAGGTCATTGATGCCCGTGCTACTATGGCGCTTTACAGGCTCCATAAAAAAATATGGGATAAGGGCTATATTCCCCCGACTCGCGTGATTAGACAAAAACCATCCAAATCAACGGTAGACGATGGATCGTATCATACTGCGGATTCGACACGTAAGCGTACGGCGAAAGAAGTCCAGGATGAGGATACAGCGATCGGGACGAGCAAAGGAGCTCTCATGACAACTCGACGGCCGAAAAAACAGGGGATCAGTTCTGGGTTATCAGTTGTAACGAAGTCCCGCAGGGAGGGGGGCGAGTCTAAGCGAGTCGTTACCGGTATACGGAATAAAGAAAAGAATATTTCAACGACGCCAGCAGGCACAAATTGGTGGGCAACGTTGGGACGGTAGTGTGTTCGTATATGTGAGCTTCCTCATAATTTTCTTATCGGAAGGTGGCATTTTTACCTCCGAATAATGGGATAGTCACTTTCTTGTTCAGAGCTATGCTTCACCAATATCATTCTCAATTGTTATCGCATTACACCATTTACTATCTAAGCAAAATTTTCAACCAATCCCGCCGATAAAGCTCGGGTTTTTTTATGCGTGGAAACGGTTCCCATGATAAGATGACAAGCCAGTTCTATTCTTCATCTACATATATTACAACCAGCATTCACTATCTGGTATCAAAAGTGACATCATATTACACCGCTACGGAGACATCACGCTGTCCCTTCATGTTCGTCTTAATCACTGTCAGAAAAAATCTCTGATGTCGAGCTGTATTTTTTGTCCGCCCCTCGCAACCTGGCACAGTTTCAACAACGGTCTATCCGGATCACACGGGTGCCCCGCATTGCCAAGATACGACAACAAGTCAGCGACGCCTGTCGTATCTAACACTTCGCTTCTTTTGTCCGAGCTCCTTATCTCTGCTAAGATTGTGCCATTCGCAGTGGTTATACCTCCGGATCCCGCATGATGGGCCCGGGTTAGCCAACTTCTTTAGTATTTTTCTCGGTATTCCGGGCACTCCTTCAGGAATATCCACGCCTACAGCCGTGAATCAGATGAGAACGGGCTGTAAATGGGATAGTGAAAAACATGATTATCCTGATTGTTGAATTGGCATTTTCGATTTCTGAATGTAAGGACCAGGCGAAACCTCGCAGATAATAGCACGAGGCATATAGCTTTGGGGTACCCAATTAAGCGCCCGCAGGAGTCGACTTCTATCGTTTTCGGATGATATGTTGTCGCTGACGTGATTTCATGGAGTTGGAGTTGGTGGAAAAATGATGATCTAGAATAGATAAGACTTGAAATTAGAGATCCAGAAGAAATGGCAACTGCAACTGCCTGGCCTACCAATCACGGGAAAGTCGGAGGTTTCACTAAGATACTCAGGGTTTAAGATTCTGAGCTATAGAGTTTAGGGCCTGGTATTTTATTTTTATGTTTAGGATGGGCCCTGTAGAAGTGAACGCCTACGGGCGTTCGAATTCGCTGCGGTACAGAAAAGCTATCGTACAGAATTAGTACAGACTCTAATAGCACTTATCATCATCCAGCATGTCCCTGTCATGGAAGAATCCTTCACTACCAGTAAACGATCAACACCAGAACGTTCCTTGTAAAGGCTGCCGAGAGAAGATTCTTAAAACGTTGCTTCACGGGTAATGATATGAGGCAGAATCTACACTTCATGTCGCTTTAGATTGGCGTAACAGCAATGGTCGCCAATAGCCCCGATCGGTTCGAGACAGAGATTATTAGTGATAGACATTCACGTTTAGCATGAGCACAAGTGTTGCAAGGCAAGTCCGACAAAAGCTCCGCCACTCGTTACTGTGGGCTCACTGGTTCCACCAGAATCCATGCTCTTTTCAGACTTATTATACAACGTCCATTTCTCGCTAGAATGATAGTAAAGAGCCGAGATTGGCTGTAGAACGTGGCTGCCCTCGGAGTGAGGAGGCCGGTCTGATATATTTACTTATGTAACAACTTACGACTAATGAAGATTTCGTGGCCGATCCGTTTAAAAGGATACGATCAATCCGTGCTATCGATAAGCAATCTCTTTCCGCTTTGGTTACAAACAGGTATTTTCCAATATTTTCTCACTTGACTTCCTCGATCCTGACTTGTTCTTTGTACATTTAAAAAGGAGCAGAACCACCCTTCTACTTGTGCATGTACTCGAATCAGCTCAGTAGCTCCCATAATCGTCATCGAGGAAACAAACACTCCAGCCCCGCTCCTAGAGGTTTCTAATATGCCTACGATGACATCCATCATACATAATAATCCTGTATATACCCCCACTTCCGGTTTCAACACCCCAGAATCCCAACTCGATGGGCCTCTGGCTTCCCCGCCCATTCACCCAACCTCCGCTCGCCGCCCTTATTCTATTGTCGTGAACTCTGAAAACACGACGTATACCGATGAATTTATTAATGCCAAGTACGAAAATCGCGGGGCTAACGTTGTCACCTCGGCCGATGGTCAAATCACCGTTGTCCCTACTGTCCAGTCCTTTGAATTTAGGACTACGAGGAAGGTCCAAAAGACAGGGTATGTGAATTATTGCGCTATTGCGATCAGTCTCCTGACAATGTCGTCGCTAGTTTGATGATGGTCGGTATTGGAGGAAACAACGGTTCCACCTTGTGTGCAACAATCCTCGCTAACCGCCATAACATAACCTGGCACACCAAGTCTGGTATCCAGATACCCAACTACATCGGTTCTCTTCTCCGTGCGTCCACTATTCGCATTGGTTCTGATCCTTCTACTGGCAAGGATGTCCATGTCCCCATCTCCGACGTCCTTCCTATGGTCCACCCCAACGATCTCGTCATTGGCGGATGGGATATCTCTGGCGTTTCAATGGATCAAGCTATGGCTCGCGCCCAGGTTCTAGACTGGGATCTCCAACGCCAAGTCGCTCCCATGATGGCACTCTTGGGAAAACCCCTCCCTTCCATCTATTACCCGTCTTTCATCGCTGCCAATCAAGAAGCGCGTGCCGATAATCTCATACCTGGCACTGACAAGCTTGCCCATCTCGAGAAAATTCGTGCCGACATCCGTTCTTTCAAAGCTGAAAATGAGCTTGACCGTGTCATTGTCTTCTGGACTGCGAACACCGAACGGTACTCCGACATCCTCGCCGGTGTCAATGACACCGCCGACAATCTTCTCGCCGCCATCAAGAGCTCCCACGACGAAGTTTCTCCTTCCACGATCTTCGCAATTGCCGCTATTCTTGAGAATGCACCTTTCATCAACGGTGCTCCTCAGAACACGTTTGTTCCCGGTGTCATCGAACTTGCGGAGAAGAAGCGCTCTTTCATCGGCGGGGATGATCTAAAGTCTGGACAGACCAAACTCAAAAGTGTTCTTGCCGAATTTCTCGTCAACGCTGGTATCAAACCTCTCAGTATCGCGTCATACAACCATCTCGGTAACAACGATGGACACAATCTTTCCGCCGAGGCGCAGTTCAAAAGCAAAGAAATCAGCAAGAGCAGCGTCGTTGACGACATGGTCGAGAGCAACAGGCTGCTCTTTAAAGCCCCTGAGCCGTCTACCACTGTGTCTCACAAACCAGGCAAGGCTGATAAGGGCGAGCACCCCGACCACATCATTGTCATCAAGTATGTCCCAGCCGTTGGCGATTCTAAACGTGCCCTCGATGAGTATTACTCCGAGATTCTGATGGGAGGCCGTTCTACCATCAACATATTCAATGAGTGCGAGGTGTGTATTTACTATTCATTATCTGCATGTATGTAACATATTTTATCAGGACTCCCTGCTTGCTACGCCCCTCATTCTTGATCTTACGGTGCTCGCGGAGCTTCTGA